AAAGCTTGGGAGACTCTAGCACAGTGAGAGAGGACGTTTCCATGGTTGAATACTAGAGTTCTTATGACTTTGCAGTAGGTGATGTAATCACTTTAAAGAGTCTTCAAGCACCATGAATGGGCCAACAAGTCTGTTTCCAACATGTCTTCTCAACTCAGTTTATTGACGTTGTAAACGTTGGTGACGCTCATTTCCGAAACAGACCCCAAAATTTGCCCAACCACAGGTGAGCCAATAGTTTCCATCTCATGTCCAACGTCATGTACTTCTGATCCCATTGAAGCTTCAAATTCCTGTGATGGAATATTAAAGTAGGCAGTTTCATAGGACCTCGCACGGAAGCCATGATCCCGATAATGCAATTTCTGGTGGTTTTCGGTACCTGAGTAAGAACAGCGGCGGTGAAAATAGTTTTGTTTGTTGGTCCGGGTTTTCCACGTGTCTTTCACATAATATTCCTTAAATCCATAGCTGTTACAGTCATGGAGATCCCACAATCGGATCATTTCTTCATTGTCGATGGATCCCTCAGGAATCATCTAACCGTGTCCATATGACCTCCGCAGTGACGTCAAGAGAGCTGCCTTTAGCAATTTCCTTGATGATGACACACTTGTTTTATTAAAAATATTGGATTTATCATTAAAAAAAAACTGCAGAAAAAACCAGAAAAGCACTTTTTTCCTTCAATAACATGGTAATAAAATCCTCAACAATTTATTAGTTTTTATAATAGAACAAATAACAAACATATCCTATAAATCTTTGAAGCATTGACATCTTAATACAATTATCCGTCTTCTCAATAACAGCCAGCGGCCATATTATCCATTGATTGTTTTAAAATTCAACAGGAATAATTTCCGACATGATAGTTAATTGCTTCACATAGGTCTGATTTGCAGCCATATTGTTTGCCGCCTTTATATAATTTCATCTTCACAGTTGATCCTAAATTTTCGATCACATTCAGATCGAGAGCTGATGGTGTCCATTCAGTTCTTATCACTCATGTAATCCTTTTACACTCAAAAAATCCACGGTTAACCTTAGATACATGAGACGGAAACACCGTCGTGCTTAAATACAGATTTCATTTTGAAACTGCGAGGCTGGGATTTTGTACGATACAAAGTAAATAAATATAGCTCACTTATATTGATTGCAAACTGGAAACTTATCAACATTAGTTAATGAACCCACTATTCACCCTGTCACGTGCTATTTCTGTTCTGTAAATCTTTGCTATGTTTTGGGTCAGCTGTTAAAGCCTCCTGTCAATTGAACATCGATGGTCAAAAAAAAATAGGAAAAACATTTTTTTTATTTCCATTCACAGTTAGAGTTGTTGAGATGTCATTCACTCCATTTGAATAAGTGCAGCGCAAGTCTGTTAGAAAGTTATGAAAGCATTTGTTTTTACAGGGTGCGGCGTAAATACCTCCTACGTATAACTCCCAGAAATACCATTCACATGAATGGTAAGCCATTAGCTAGATGAAGACACCATTGCGACAAATGAGTTACCAATTCTGAAAAGTATATGCGGGAGGTATTTTTGGAGCATCCTATATTTACACGTGCACACGTCAATGATTTAGTTATCCTTTCGCTTCATTTATTCATCTTTTCAATATTTTTCGTATACACACACACACACACATATATATATATATATATATATATATATATATATATATATATATATATATATATATATATATAATTATTAAATTCAAAAGTTAATATAGTGGGCAATCTTATTTGATATAGACGCCCTAATTTTTATCTTAAATTGTGTTTATTACGCTTGTCTATCTGCGCATCCGAGATATCTCAATAGAAAATGCGTTGACCTGTGACCTCTCCACGCTTTTTAGGAGAAACACCCGTTTGATCCGGTGCGCAAGACAATACGTACTTATTCTTCGAATAAACACGAAAATGACCGAGAGGGCTCGATTCCTAGAAATGCTTTGCAGTATTAGCAGTAGTAGTCATTCTTTACAAAGTCGTGCTTTCTCTCAAGAGTGCTCGACCGGAATTAAATTATATATATATTTATATATATTGATATTTATACACACACACACACACACACACACACACACACACATATATATATATATATATATATATATATATATATATATATATATATATATACGTTTAATTAAAGATGACAGACAAAATTTTGTGGTTAAGTTAATCATTTAATTTTCGAATTTTCGAATTTTATAGTGTCACGTTCCTAGTTGGGTGCCAGGTCATGTAATTTAAAATTGTGTATATGGTCAGCAATCCCTCTTTTATGCAAGCTATAAAAAAGAATTGCAGCCTAAATACACAATTATTAAATTGCATGTATATATATATATATATATATATATATATATATATATATATGTGTGTGTGTGTGTGTGTGTGTGTGTGTGTGTGTGTGTGTGTGTGCGTGTGCACGATAAATCCCTTTTATTTGTTTACTTGAATGCGTCTGATGGCCAGTGAAACGGCTATACACTCTCGGCTGATAATTTGTCCATAGGTTTATTGATTACATGATTGAAGTTTAACAGGGGATATGTTATGCTGATCTGGAATGTCAATAAACGTTATGACAGATGAATTTAGGATTAAATTCCTATTTCCAACTAAATTGCTTAAAAAGTGTCATTAATTTAGGAAAAAAGGTACATTGTATACCCTTATGCATAAACGTATACAAATTATACCATTGACTTATATCAACTCATGGGGAGCTATTTTCCGAGATTAAGCACATTTGCCATGAGTTATCTGATGACGATGAGTTCTATCGCCGAACTAATTCTTCAGTCGTAATGCCAGTGTATTGCTTTAGTTCAGATAAATTCCAACACATTATTAATTGTCAGAGGAAGATTTTTGGTGTCGCATTTAAATGTAGTTAAAGACATTCAGTAATTTTACATATCCAAGAATCTACTTTTTTTTAGACAGAAAACGTATTTCGAATTGGCAAGCATGGCTTGTTAACCAGATCTGGTCCGCAAAGGGAAATACATAAGAAATATTTTCCGTATTTCTTTAATTTATGCCTTGTTATTCGAACGACCATGCTCACCTTGGTTGTTATACACACAACGTTTCGGTTGCTGTACTCACCGGTCTTCTTCAGGCTTCTGTCTTTGTACTTGGTAGCTTGTTTTAAATTTCGAGGCGAAATTTGATTCATTGTTCTGCATAGATATTTCCCTCGTTAAGCTATGTAGACTTTTTCTATGTGACGGTTCTCTTCAGAAGTTTGGTGATCATGGCTCTCCACAATTTCCTGCCCTTTGTAGCTGTTAGCAATTTTTCTGTTTGTCTTCTCTTCTAAAATCTATCCTGTCATCCATTTACGAAAGCTCTTTAGATAGGTTATGTGCTGTTTTCCTTTGTCTCTCTTTCCTTTAATATATCATGTGAATGTCTATCATCATCATCATCATCATCATAATCCTTCGACCTCCCTATGGTTGATCGGAACTCCGTTGACAATCTCTTTCCATACTGTTCAGTCCTGTATTGCTGTCACCAGATCCCCAATGTCCAACACAACAACCAACAACAGTACCGAGCAATGATGTCTGGGAAAGTCAATTTTCGTGAGAATACACTTCCAGAAGGATGCCACAGGAGTAAGGACGAGACGATTTCCCTGTGCGCTCAGTGGCTGGGAATTTGTAATCGTTTTTGTTTGAGCTTAAGTGCGATTGGTCTTAGTTCTCCGTAAATTGTGTTAAGCGTTGCATAATAACTTCAGCTGACGTTCTGGATTTTTCTAAGTAGATTTGATTATGTTCCATCCAGTCGTCTTTCAAGGCGAGCAGATAATGTCTAAGTTTCTGACCCATAAAGTAGGACTTTGTTCAATCAAGGACAATGGAAGGTTCGGGCGTCAAATGTTGTGAAGTTTTTTACATGCATCCCAGGCAAGAGCTTTGCGGATATTGAAGACATTTGACGTGGAGATTGAAATATGAGAGATGTTACAAAAAAGAAAAACTGACTGAAGAAAAGCACAAAAGTGTTACTATTAATTATTCGGTCTGTTATCCTCAGCTTCATTGCCATATTCACAACGTTTCGACCGTTGTAGGTTCCTGCATTCTTCAGTTCATTGGAATTTTGAACCGAAATCTTTATTTTTTCACTGGGGTAAATTGTTCTAGTTCCACGTGCCATGCCTCTTCCGGATGTCTCAGTTATTAGCCTTTAACTCAACTTTCCAAATTTGGGCTCACCACTGCTGTGGCCTGGTATTGAACTTACAACTACTTCTGATTCTGATTTGTCCAAATGTTCACTCTAAATTTTCTTTAAAATAATTTTCGAATTTCATTGATCAAAGAGTATCATTGTCAATTATTCCTAGAATAAACAGTGATACATATATATATATATATATATATATATATATATATATATATATATATATATATATATATATATTATTTATTCGAAAATTATAACATAAAATGATATAAAATCACTACAAATATAGTCATTTTGTTTCAAAACTTGGTGTCTTATCAAGTGATGGTATCATTTTCGATAAATGATTATATTTGCTCTACTCTGTATTGAGCAATCTTTTAAGAACAGTATTTGTCGGTTATTGGAATTTATTCGGTATACAACAATCCTATACTTGGATATATATATATTCCTAGAATAAATTGTTTTATATTTATTTTTCGACTAGCATGATACCCCACATTGCGCATACCATTTCCCTTTTTCTGTTGTAGAACAGTCAATTTTTGATAGAAAATAGGAATTGATCTCTTCTCTCTTCAGCTATGGATTAAATAATAGGGTACGCTATGATCTTTAGTACTGGATGTTGGATTATCAGGATGACTCTTCTGAATTCAAAACCGCGGAGACTACAACAGAAACACACTCCACTGTCTTTACCAAGAAATCATGGCAATTCAAAGATAAGAAAGAAAGGAATATTGAAAAGCCATAATAGCTTACGTTCTGAAGGTATTCGACATTAAAAAACTGCTGAATAGCAAATATAGCATCTGAGATGGTGTGTGAATTGTGATAAAGAATAAGTGAAATAAAACGAAATAATTTCTAGATGAAAATTAATAAGTCTTACTTTCTTGCTTCCTCTTTATGTCCTCACATATTTATACCTCTTTGTTTCTTTCCTTCTATCTTTTCAAACAATAAACATAATTCTCTTTTATTTATAACTAGTAGAGCTTTATCAACCACAACACTGACGACAGCAGGCAAATCTTTATCCATCTCATTAGTTGTAGTATTAATATACTTCCTATAATTATTAGATGCAGCAAGTGAATCAACGCTTCCTTTCGCATTATCAAGTCCGGTAGCCTCCTGCTGTTTCTGATGCCTGATTTTACATATTACCTTTCCTTTCTGTCAACGGGCCAAACCCAAAAGCTGGAATCCTAACGCTGAAACGAACTTATCGATGGCATTGGTGGCGAATATCTTGATCCCGTCCTTCTTGTAAAGCCCACCGGTTGCCAGCGGGAAGAAATTCAGAGTCAGGGAAATCTCCAGCACCTTGGCAAACCCCAATACTTTCCTGGCCCTCCCTTCTTTGGCCCTTTTAAACGTGGGGAAACACTGCTGTTGTGGGGGGACGTGTTTCTTCGATCGACTGCAGGGCAATTGGACTCTGATGTGGCCTCTGACCGTTGGTCACTTCTTGGCATGGAAATAAATGCGAAACCCACGTCAGAATTCTCAATGGGGCAATGCCAAATTCTGCTAGGCTGAAATATGGAAATACCGCGCGTATGGTTGATCTCGAAGCGGAAGTATTCATGTCAATTTTAGGAAGACATTTTTATCCTTTTTTTTTTTACTGGCGACTACTTCTATAGATTTGTTTCTTTCTGCTGAGGTGTGAGGAATATTGTTTTGCTTTGTTAAATGATTTAGACATTTTACTTTGGTTGGCAAAAAACGCTTCGGGGAGGTAACAGATGCGTCAATTTGTATTTACGTTCCGCCCCACTTTCTAAAAAGGGTAAGAGTATCACTTTGGGTAAAAAAAGATTAATATGTGCAACTTATTTTAAACGTCAAATTAGATTTACGCGAAATAAAAATGTCGTACCTTTGCGGATGAGAAAAAGATACACACTTTTTTTTCTTCACACGTCAACACACATACACCAAGTTAAAGATGTGAAAAGGTATTATAGGAAATGGTATTTTTTTTATATATCTTAAATTCCTTGCAGAAATCTATATATTTATTTTAGCCCTTAATTTCCGTTTTTAATTGTCCATGAATGAAGTCGTCAAATGTTGATTTTGAGTTCTGATAAAAGTCAGTCTTTCGAACACTAAATTTTCAAACTAGGTATTTATCATCTCTTGAGAAATTGGCGTTAAATAATGTTTCTACTTCCCTGCAATTTTACTATTTACCTTAGATCACCCGTACCTTCCACATGTAATACATTCTTAAATACACTTTACTTACAGAAATTAACACTACAAAATAATCTATAACAATTCTAGTAATACAAAATTTCGAGTTATAACCAGCTGATAATTTAATCTCTGACGTCATAACTAGCTTCGATCTTTAATAGACTGCACATAAAAAAAATATTAATCAGGTAAAATAACACAGCTACAGTAAGATCTGTTTAATTTAAAAATAACCATATGAAATAAATTTATTCATAACAAAAAGAGAACCAAAAACCTCGAAATTAAATGCAATACTTGAAAATTCCGGTATTACACCTACTGACACTTATAAAAGCCAAACGACTTTATAGGTATGCCGATATATACAAAGGCATAAGCACGTGAAAACTTTTGGTAATAACCTATGAAATACAAAGTACACAAAAGACACAGTGAATAAATGAAATATTCCTACTTTATAAGAAAAGAATCTCTCTCTCTCTCTATATATATATATATATATATATATATATATATATATATATATATATATATATATATATATATATATATATATATATATATATATATATATATATATATATATATATATATATATATATATATATATATATATATATATATATATATATATATATATATATATATATATATATATATATATATATATATATACATATATATATATATATATATATATATATATATATATATATATATATATATATATAATTTTTTAAAAAACAGTATGTTACCTATGATTTAAACAAAAAATATTATAAGCTCTACTTCTGTATGGAGCACTGTCTTCTTAAAAATAAAAACAAAAATACTAAGGAACTCCGGATTATGCATCCAACGTGTTCTTTTCTATTTTCTGCATACCTGCACACTTATACGTATATATATATATATATATATATATATATATATATATATATATATATATATATATATATATATATATCCTTACATTGCGTCTAAAATGTCCATGAATGAAAAAAAAAACTGTCGTCTGTTGATGTTTGAGTCCTCCAAATAATCAGTTTCTTGAATGTTCATTTTCAAATGAAATATGTTTCTACCCTTGACAGTAAACAATCTTTCTGGTTCATTGTAAAGTTTCTGTTTCAGAGGCTTTAAAATCTACAAACCTATCCACCTGAGATCCAATTTGCCTTTCGTTAAATTAATCATATTAAGGCTACGCACCCTTCTATAATAGTAACAGAAAATTTCTGGGAGTTAATGTGAAATATAAATATAAAATTTTATATTTATTAAACTGGCAAAATACAAACTCAAACTGTCTTGTACATTTCATATACGAACGATTATATATCAACGTATATCAAACGTAATGAGATGCTCAATAATTAACTGGAGGAAAATTCATTGATTTATTGACACTCAGAAATGCGAGAGAATAGGGGAAAAGAATAGAGAGGTAGTATAAGTAGACAAGAACATTATGAAAAAGGAGAAATAATAACTACATTCTACACATATGCACATGTAAATACGTACAGGCGGGCAAACACACACGTACACACATACACAAACGGACAAACACAAAAAAGAATATCAAACTAATAAAAGTACGGATAAATATTTTTTTTAAATTGATATAAAAATAAGGAAAATGTGAAAATCGACAGAAAATTCCTGATAGTTCTTAAAGAATGGGCCAAACTATTACAATAAGTTTCGTGTAGTCAGTGTGCTGAATATAACAATAATCAATGAGACATTTGCTTTAATCACACACACACACACACATATATATATATATATATATATATATATATATGTGTGTGTGTGTGTGTGTGTGTGTGTGTGTGTGTGTGTGTGTGTTCTGTCTATGAATTTTTCCAATCGACTGTTTCATAGAAAATACCCAAAACTCCACCGAATTTCAAATTAATTTCTTCGTAGATTGTTTTAACATTTAGATATTTATCAAGCCATAACCTCCCAAATATGCACGTTAAAGTAACGCGAATTAACAGCGTCTAAGAATTTGAATGAAACCTGTCGTGTAATTGATTGGGGTTGTTGTAACTTCTTCCTTTAATGTCGTTCTTATCATTCACCCCTTAGCCATCTATATCTAGAGACGAGACGCGTTAAATTTGAGCAACCTCTAGCCGACACACTGGGGTTAAAAATAGGAAACTGAAATGATACATATGACACACTCTCTCCCACCTCATTTCCTCACTTCGTTAATTTTACGTATACTTGATGAGGTCCGTCAAAAATGTGTGAATTTCTTTTCATTTTTCATTTCATCTTTTTTGGAAGTAAAAGTCTGATGATCCAGAACCCTGTTAAAGGGTTATGGTGAAATAACTTATTACAGGGAATCTTAACGTGGTCTGTTTTTATTCATATATATATATATATATATATATATATATATATATATATATATATATATATATATATATATATATATATATAAATGTGTGTGTGTATTCAAACAGCTTGGGTTAAAAATCTGGTTAGTATATATATATATATATGTGTGTGTGTGTATATATATATATATATATATATATATATATATATATATATATATATATATATATATATATTCATATATATTCTATATATTGGTAGGTTTGGTTAAAGTATTTCGACATATCATGTCGATTAGTTTTCGTTCTGATGTTTTTTGTGGAAAATAAAAACTATTCAAAAGAAAATGTTACGATTTTTCTTACTCAATTTTCCAAGTCTACCAAAATATTAATCCACTAACTTGAAAGGATCACAACGAAAACTTGATCGACGTGATATGGCTAAATTATTTTACCAAACCTGTTTGACTGAAAATATGCTGCCTAAATATACACAGTATATATATATATATATACACACACATATATATATATATATATATATATATATATATATATATATATATATATATATATATAGTAAAGAGGGACTGCGGATCATTATTCAAACATATATTATTCAATATAACAGACAACGGAAGTCTATTATCTTTGATCATGAGCCGTTCTAAGCTTCATATAGTGGCTTTATTTTCGGGGAAAATAAAGACTAAATCTGTCCCACATTTGGATACATTTTTATTATACTATTCCTCGATCTAAGCTTTCGGCTCACATGAACCCTCATTAGTGTGCTTATAATGAAATTACAACAGAGAATGTTCACCATGAAACATGATATCCTGTTATGTTTACATATTTTTGCTATGCGAAGGTAATTTACATGCCTGTTCCGAGATTGTATAAACCCACTACATCCATTGGTTTTATTACAACCACATTCCCGCGTAGGCTTACCTGTCACTTTTATGATCTTAGTTTCATTAAACAACATTTCTTAGAAAAATAGCCATATACATAATATTAGACAGATATTAGTTGATAACCCAACATTACTTACACATATACACAGTAAAAAGAACCTTAAGTTATTGGAGGCCATCTACATTAAAACAAAACAACCTACACTGAAAAAAATGACATTTCAAACCAGTCAACATATTACAATTCAGGTTCTGTTGATAACATTTCTTTCTCTCACGTGGTCAACTACAACATATAACCACATTACGAATTTACGACCCGCGTCTGCTATTCCGTGACCGTTATCGTCGCATAGGAAACTTCTATGTAAACATAAAATCTTTGATGCTGAACATCTCTGTTGTAATGTTCTTATAACAACTCTGAAGATGGCTCATGTGAGCCGAAAGCTTAGATCGAGCAACAGAATAATAAAATATATCAAATATTGGATAGATTTTGTCTTTATTTTCTCTCGAAACTAAAGCCCCTATAAGAAGCTTAAAACGGCTCATGATCAAACATAATGGATATTCGTTGTCTGTTATATTTACCAATATATATATATATATATATATATATGTATGTATATATATATATAAATGTATGTTTCATTAAATAATATAGACAAGTTTTGTCTATTTTAAGTAAATTCATTTGATATTGTCGAATAAGCTTTTTAGCATTATCACTGAAACAGGAAAGAAAATCACTATGTTGATACATATTTTTATTGTTCACCCTGTCTAAGCTTTCGGCTTAAATAAAACATCATGAGAGATTACAAGTACATTACAATAAATTAAATAATAAAGACAGTAATTTGTTTTTAGAATGGTTATGAGGACATTGCAACTATGATTGTTTGTTTTGTTTGCCTGGAAGATTGCTATGCAACGATAAATTCGTGCATATGTAACGCCGGAAGTAAAATATCGCATTGCGGTTCATAACATCATACATGCCCATGTGAGAGTGAAAATGAAGAAAAATGTTAAGTATGGAAAGCAGTTAGTATAAACCAATAGCTTCTGTTATCACCTATAAGCATTTAAGCATATTTGTAAAGTTTTCATAGTTTATTTTGTTCGGGATAGGTTGCAACTATTTTATGTAAATAGCTTCAAGAATTTTTTGTTTTTGTTTATTGTTTTCATGGTTAAGTATAATTGTATATTCAACAAGGATTTTCCGAAAATGTGTATGTGGCCAAACATTTTGTTTTAAATGCTTAAAAATGCTGATATTTTCATTCCAATGGATAGTTAAGCGTCGTGAAAGCGAGTTTGTGGTGTGACCAACATAAATATTATTCAATCCGTTGGAGATACAATCTCCTAGAGAGCATTTGAATTTGTAAACTATGTTGGTTTTCTGCAAATCGCTAGCAGGCGGGGAAGAATCATTGCGAATAATTAAGTTGGATATACGAGATTTAATGTTGTATATGATTAACTTAATACATACATATATATATATATATATATATATATATATATATATATATATATATATATATATATATATATATATAGAGAGAGAGAGAGAGAGAGAGAGAGAGAGAGAAAGATTAAAGTACTTTTCAACTACTTTCACGCAAAGGTTTTATATGCGGCAATATATGGCATGAGTCGTTCCTCCAGATCTACAAATCAACAATTTGCCCTTGCATGGAGTATTGCTGCCATATATGGTCTGGTGCCCCTTCTGTTTGCCTCGGGGTTCTTGATAGGCTCCAGAGGCGGATATGCAATGTAGTTGGCCCTGCCCTGGCGTCTCGTCTACAGTCACTTTCTCACAGACGCGCCGTCGCCTCCCTCTGTCTGTTCTACAAATACTTTCATGGAAATTGCTCCGAGGAGCTGCATTCGCTGGTTCTCAGACGTCATGAGTTCCAGCGCCTTACGAGATTGGCATCCCGCTCTCACCCCTTCACTGTGGAAACTCCTAAATGTAGCCGTCTCTTCTACTCTAATAGCTTCATGTCTCGCGCCTCTCGCCTGTGGAACTCCCTTCCTTATTCCTGTTTCCCTGTGAGCTATAATTTCCAGCTATTCAAGTGTAATGTCAATCAACATCTCCAGTTGCCTTGATCTATCCACTACCCTCATCCTTTCTTCTATCACTCCTATCTGATCTTGCTCTAAATTTTCTGTAAACCCTTGCGTCCTAGTGGCTTCCCGCCTTGCTTGGGGTGAAATGCTTAAAAAAAAAAAAATATATATATATATATCAGCACAATCATCAGACGATCAGGAGAGACAAAAATTATAGTTTTGTCCTGTCTCTCCTGATTGCAGGATGATTGTGCTGCCATACCAAATATTGGCGCATATGAAAATCTTCCGTTGTCTGAAGTTAGTAGATAAGTATTTTAACATTTACACATTGTTCTGTTCATCGTTTTCCTTGTTCATCAAGAACTCTATTGTATAATTAACCTTGGCATATATATATATATATATATATATATATATATATATAATAGGTGCTACGAAACAGTTTGCTAACTAGGATTTGCTGTCATACTTGCTATTTTCGGTGTCTTTTGGAATTCTTCCATCAGAAAATGACCTCATTTTTAATATATTTATTCTTTCTTTGAGAAAGCCATTCCGTGCCCTAAGATTATGAAGCTTTGTTTTCCGCCATGTAATGTGTCGTGCTCACCGAAGTATCTTCCTGTTTGTGAAATGCAATAATAAGTTACACCCTTCGAACTCATAACGCGCTGCTAGATGCGTGCCAATAAAATTTTGATTCGTTTATGGTACACAAAAATCGAAAGGGGTATAAGACAAGGATGTGTCTTCGCACTTGATTGATTTTAACTCTACAGCGAGACAGCGCTTAGGAAAACTACTCTCAGGTTTTTATTTTCGATAGACGCAATCTTAACAATATAAAATACACAGTTGACACTCTGTTGCTGGCAGACACAGAAAAAAAACATCTAGGACCTCTTAGACAATATACCAAAAGAAGGCAGTAACAATGGTCTACATGTCAACATGGTTGGCAGTCAAACAAAAGAAAAGCATAATTGATTTGTTTCCTGCAGCTTATCCACCTTCTGTAGGTTATGTAAAATTAGAAAATATTTTTAGATTATGAGAAATTTTTGGAGATGGTAATAATTTAGTGATACACGTCTTACTAATTAACCGATAGCTGGGGATGAGAAGTGGTAGATTCATACATACCCCTCAGGTTGAATGTACGGTAGAAAATTAATCGGAATTGGGGAAGCAGTTTCCGATTCTAGCCGATTTCACTTTCACGCAAATATCCCTGGGGAATGGTATGAATCCATCTTTTCTCCTCCCCAGATATGGGTTAATTAGTAAGACGTTTATCAGAAAATCATTATTATTTTCTAAAAAAATCATACGATATGGAAATATTTTCTGGCGTTAAAAGGTTGTTAAGCCGTAAAAAATCAACAAATTAATCACTCATGACGTCCTCTTATTGTCCTTTTATTGGGGCTGAGAGCCAAATATCGCTTATTATATATTTAGAACATTCAAAGATGTATTTTTATGACAAACAAGGATTTAGTTTGGTACAATATTTTTGCGCCGGTTGCAAACAGATAATATTTGGGGTTTCAATTGTTAGAGATTTTACAAGTACACGAGAAAGACTGATTTGAACGGTTTCTGTCTTTTTTGATACAATGAAGGTCAGTCAAAATTGCACTTGTTAGCATTCACCTAGCTGATTTGAAACCTCAGAGCCCGTCTATTGGTGGGATAGGTGAGGAAAGAAAGAAAGAAAGAAAGAAAGAAAGAAAGAAAGAAAGAAATATTAAAGAGAAGGAAAAGACTTTTGCTCATTTCGGTAAACATCCATATGAGCCTTAAGAGAACGCGTGTCGACCTCTGCAAAAGAATATTACGAACCCCTTGTACGAGGATAACAAAACAAAAAGAATGTAAAGAAATATAAATTGATTGTTATTGATTAGGACAGAAAAATGTGTGTGTATGTGTGTGTGTGTGTGTGTGTTGTTGTTGGGTGGGGCAGAGGGAACGATTTTCGGATTAGCTTGATTGTTGAACTGCGGCTATTGGGAGTCGAACACTGAGAAACACGTGCTGGCGTTGTTAGCACCAGGAACAAAAGTCGCATGACAGCTCTGTTCCTAATGCTTTCTCGCACTTCCGTGTCTACTTTAACTTCTCTAGTTCGTCACGTAGATCCTAACAGGCGCATGGGATTTGTCAAATGGGGTGCGTCAGGGCCAATCTGACGGTTATGCATACATACAAACACAGGAAATGCTAAATTAAAACCGAAGGAGCGACATTGGCAGATAGATGCAAAGATGGAGAGATAGACAATAGATGAAATTAGATGATAAAGATACAGGCACAGACGTTTATCATATTGCAGATCAATTTACTCGTCAAGTGACTTCGTTCGACATCGTGAACTTGTGACAGAGAAAACTAAGCCTATTCAAAATCTCGGTCTGTTCTGTGGTTAAATTATCCGTGATTTTCCAACAGGTGCCAGAGTTCGGTGTTCCAGCCCGAGTAAGAATACCCGCATGTCGAATGCAGATTTTGCAGGGCAGTCGGGCCTGATTGGACAAAAGCGAAGTTCCATTCCAATTATTTTAATCAATTCACCCCAAGCAAGGCGATATTGCCGCTAGAACACAAGGGGCTACTCGGCGTGAAAGTGAATGAGAAGATATTAGATGAAATAGGAACGCGAATCCCAAACAGGGGACACGGGATAAACTTCTACCCGTATTCAAAAGATTGGAGAGGAGTGTGAACCGGACGATAGGTGAATCTATTTACCACTGCATTTCTGTTTGTTGTGGCCTTGTTAGGGCCAGAAATGAAAACACAAAGAGAGGAATTGAGTTAAACAAATATATTAACAGAAACCGTAATACAATCATATACAAACAAGAGTGTTACAGCAAGAATGTTCTGTCCCACTGCCAGAGCTGACTGCTGGAAACTTCACACTCCAAAAGACGGTCACTGCTCCTATTCATAGCTGAGAGAGTCCATGCGTGCGTGGGCAAATTACCATAACACTGTTTAACCCATAAACGACGGGCATCGTCAGTTGATGTTTCGTTGGATATCACTTGATGAATTTAACTTTTTTCAATGAAGGATACTTGTATAACTCATTCAGAACTCGAGTTTAGATTAGGTACCTTCAGGTTTTTGCTGAAAAACCAACATAGCATGATGAAAAAATGGCCCCAAACTTAAAACAAAGTTTTATCGTCATAATGTTTATGTTATTATTAAAAGGAAAGAGTGAATTATTTTATTACTATTTTATTAAATTGTTTAATCCTTTCCAGCACGTTCGAAATTTAAGTTAAAAATCTTGCTTTCTTTTCTTCAGCGACCGACGTAATATTTACGATATGTGTTTTAGCGTTTTTATCAAAGTAATTTAGAAATTCTTGCAAAAATCAAAATATTGTCGAATTTTAATGAAACTTTCAAGACCTATTGACAAAGTAATGAAATTAGTTTTAAAATTCATTTTTTAGAAAATCTTTGTAAATAGTGGGATTTTATACGTAAAAACATATTTTTACCTAATTTTATGAAATTTAGAGAAATTAAATTTTCATCCGAAATTATTTTTGTTTTTTTTATTTAAAAGCATTTGATCATATTTTTTTCAAACCTCTATTCATTTCCCGAAAATCGTAAAATACAAAACGCAATAAAACTATGACCTTATTTAATCAGAAAAACGCTTTTATAAATAAAATGTGCTTTTATAAATAATATTTATTAAGGACACTATTGACTTAAGAAAAAAAAAACTTTTCAATGAATAATGAAATTTTACAGGACATGTTTTCATTTTTTTTTAAATTTAAATAATTTATAATATATAAATCTATATAATATATATATTTTTATATATTAAAATATATAAAATTCACCTTCATTTTCATCCACTTAGTTGATATTATTATTAAGTGAAAGCTATATTTACTAATCAAAAATTCCAAAGCTTAAAAAAAAAGCATTTTCCACCAAGGTTAAAGAATACTTAAAGTAAATAATATTTTTTATCAAAATAGATTTATTAAACAGGGTGTTTCAAAAAATTTGATATCATTTCGCAATCTAATAACTTTGTTAGATCTCCTTCAAATGACTTCAAATTTTAATAGCATCTTTATGTTTAATGTTTGTTTTATGTTTTTATGTCTTTATGTTTTTGTGTTTTTCTTATTTGTATTTTTATGTTCTTTAATCTTTTTTCTTACAGGTATAAAAATGCTATTTACTAGAAGAGAAAAGGCGTTTTGTGTGTTCACATAATCCACATGCTTTTTGAATTTCTCATTCAGATTTGGAAGAATAAATCTTATGATCTTCAACATTAATACTTTTTAATTTCATTTACCTTAATCATGTACTTTCTGTGACATTTACATCTCAAAGGATATCAAATTTTTTGAAACACCCTGTACTTTAAATCAGCTAATTTTCCTAAAATAAAGTTTCAGAAAAGTATATTTTATTTTTGGAAGATGTTTTAATACAGAGAATTACATTGCGATGAAAAAACTAAAAAGGGTGCTAATCAGCTATTTAAAAAAAAATCAAAAGCAAAATCTATTCCAATCAATATAATTTCTCTTTGAAATACACGACAGAGTATTTTGGTTACTGTAAATAGTAAATTTAATCATTTAACTTTCAATTAAAACTAAAAGTAAAGCTTCAAGTAAGCTTTTTCATTTATGAAAAATAATTTAAACCTTAGGTAATCAAAAATTAATGGAGTTACCTAGTTTAAATGACTAAATGGCAAATTTATGATTCATAAGTTTGCTATTAACTTTGATTCGTGAGGTTTTTGCCAATTTCTCGTAAACAAAATCGAGAAGCCAAAGATAGTGTTATATATGAACACATAATTCTCGAAGCGAAAAAGAGGTAAAAATTGTAACAACTTGCTGCAAAAAGTGCATAACTCATCTGTGCATGATCGTCTACGTATCATCATGATGTAGAAGATTATGACTATCTGCAATTTACTGGACTTTGCTGCTCTTAATAAATGTTTTCATTTCTCTCTCAGATCCTGCTCCATTATCCATTTACGCTTGCTAGGTAGGTTATGCCTTGTTTTTTCTCTGTCCCTCATTCTGCACTGTGATTATCAAATTTTCCAAGCCCTCTTTCCTCATTATGTACACTGGAAATTTTATCTCTCTCTTCTTGATGTTAAGTATAAGCGTCCTTTTATTTCCATTTTCTCTCAAACTTCGTCGTTGCTCACATGTTTGATACATGGTATTCTCAGCATCCTTCTGTAGAACAAAATTTCAGTTATCTCAGGTCTCTTCTTCATCTGTGATGAGATTCTCCAGTATTTATTTCCATATAGAGGGACAGATATAACAGTTCAGTACACTTTTCTTTATTTCTAACGAAGACTATCTGTTTCTTAATACTTTGCTTAGTTTTTGGAACAAAACCTTGGCTACCCATAGAAGGGCCGATATTAGATAACAGTCCAGAACTCTTGTCTTTGTTTCCAATCAAATGTCCCTGTTTCTTAATACTTTGCTTAGCATCTGAAAAGCATCTTTATGTAAAAATATTTGCATATTTAAAATTACTTATACGTCTTTAATTAACTTATATTGCCTGGTGTTGATGTATATATGTTTTCTAGACACCTTTTTGTTATTTTTCTTAATCTCTGTTTTGCCCGCAATTGTCACAATTCTCTGACCATCTCGCCGTCAACATATCCTGTAAGTTTTCTAAGCCCTCTATCCTCTTTAAATACTCTAATAATTTCAATAGTCTCATTTTCATGTAAGTGCCATTTTTGTTTCCTTTTTCGCTAAACCTGAATCATTGCTCACATTTTCAGCCGATGGTATGCTCGACCAGAATTTGTAAAACAACATTTTAGTTGTCTCAAGCCGCTCTAAAATCTGTGAGGATGTTATCCTGCATTCTTTGTCATATAGGAAGACCGATATTACATAACAATCCAATACTCTTTTCTTTGTTTCTAATGAAACCTTCCTGTTTTATATTACTTCGATTAAGGTCGGTTCTTAGCATTTGTGTCATAAACTAAATAGCGCTTAATACAATTTTCAAATTAGCGTAGGTATGTTATAACATACAATACAAATTTTATTATTATTTTACTATACTGTGTGTCGGGGTGTCATTTGTCTTAATATGTAGCAAAGTGTGTCATATCGAATGCAAAATGGCGATGCCAATCAAAAATCGCCAAAATTCTCAGCAAAGAAAAGATAACTCATCTGTGCATGAAATGCATCGAGGAATATAGTACTGTTAAGAATTAATCAATTTGGGAATCCAACATTAGTTTTAGTTTCCTTTATAATGTAAAAGAGTCAAAATATTTTAAGTTTTTTTTTGTATATAATCAAATCAAAAGAAAGCATAAAATGAGCCACTCATTAAAAACGTATCTTGTCGTTTTCTCTTTCTCGTTAGGCGTGCATTATCGGGCAACCATGCTGTACTGTTTAAAGATTAATCATGAATCTATATTTCCACTTATGTAATACAATCTCTACATGCTGTCTGCATTGAAACTGAGGGAGATGCGCATAAAAAAAGCTTTTACAGATCGGTGTTCGATCTGTAAAAGCAAACAAGTAGCATTTAGAATCCTTATGTTCTTAGATCCATCAGACTCTCTCCACTTCAAAGATTGCCTCAACAGAACACTCCGTTATTCAATGGGGTCTTGTGTTATCCTAATCTTTGGAGATATCAATAACGATACATTATTTTAAGTATGGAGAATGCTAATTGATAAATCAGCGAAGCCAGAAGAATGTTAAACGACTTAAAGAATACAAATTTCTGCTCGGAGATTTGGTACCCCAACTTTAAGAATTTGATAGCTGTTCTAGATTGGCGGCTAAGTTTCATCATAGAATGCAACTGTAACTTGTGTGCTAAAAGTGTATTACCTCGCACTTTTTGTCTTGTGTAAGACAAACAAAAAATGGATTAAAAATATAACCTTTCTTGTCTTGGATGGCAACAGTTAATTTATTTCGGATTTTTCTTCTAATACAGTTCTTCCGTCATAACACCAGCGCTACTCAAGATAGAATTTTCCTAAATGCGGTTGTTGTAAGTGGATTAAAAGGTGCATATTCTGGTGATAGGTAGGATAGATAACGGCTGGCCTTAGACTTGAAGAGGTTAAGATTTTAGTAACCGGGGATTGATTGATTTTTTTGTATGATTAATCAACTCTTTGTGGCTAATTCAAAGCCGAGGCATATTTTAGATTTTAGAAGATTGCTTACAGTACCTGGTGTTCGTAAGTGGTCTTCCATCTTAATACTGACCGGTTCAACGTTGCTTAACTATGGTGATTGAAAGGGAACAGGTAATTTCAACGTGATTTGACATCGTCATCAGGAATGATCCTTTCAGAAATCTGTTGTACAATGTAACATTTCAAGTGAAGAAGCCGTCTGGGCGAAACTTTTTACTAATGGAATAAGGCAGGAATGAGGATGATTCGACTCTGTGGATGTGGCTAGGCGGATCATAGTAGTGAAAGAACGAGATGGACTATATAAGAAATTTAGTGCGTCTGAACATCTGCAATAAGAACGATACTGTAACAAGAGTCTAGCGTCTCAGGGAAGGGGTTTGGAGAGTGGAAAATAATTCTTCATCCACAAGGACGTGTAAAGGCTTGGAATTCTGTGAAGGTTGCAAAGTAAGTTTTGGGTAGCTCCAGCCCATATATGACAACAGTATACCATTTTTGGTTTAATAAAGAAATACATATTAATAATAACCATGAAGCAATTTAGTCCGTATTAAATTCTTCCAATCGATTTCCATGCAAGTGACAAACTCTCAGAGTGGGGAGAGTTTTCTAATATAAACACTAATTCACACATTGACACTGACAAATAAAACTTGGGATATACCGTGAAAGTTCCCATCAATATATGGAAGTATCCTATTATGATTTTGCCTGCCCCCCCCCCACTCTGTTAGTTAACACGACCTTTGCTTCTAATCAATACCTCATAAATAATTGACTATTCTGCGTTTTGATCGCGTGGGTAGAAAAAGAAAAAACACATTACTTGGTTTTAGTGAGAAATTACATGAATAAAAAAGAAAGAAAGGAAAATAGAGAGAGAGAGAGAGAAAAAGATTAAGCTGATAAGAACAGATACTCCACTTGATCCCAGGCAAAAGCCCGAGAAGCGGTATTCACCTGTCACCCCCCCCCCACTGAGTTAGGATGCGACACAAGGTCAGTTATTTAACGCGGGTTCGGGCACAGTGTTTGTCTAAGTTGGTCATTGCCGATCGAAAACAAAATGCTGAGAAACGGTATTCACTTCTCACCCGCACCGCCACTTGACTTGTCTTAGTGTCTTTTATACAAAGACTTTCATGATAATTTTTCTGATGACCCTTTCTATATGGTACTTAGACTTTATGAATTTAAGTGCAGTTTCATTGGCGGTAATTTCTGGTCATTTTTAATGGAAATAGTTAAATGTCACCGTAAGCACTAAGCTGACACTTTCTACATTGTATTTCTCGTTTATGGAAATCACTTCGAGCTTCTTACATCCCGGTCAAATTTGATCTTCAAATAATTAAATGCAATGTCAATCGTTATCTTCTGTTTTCTCAATTTCCGTTCTTTTATTCTTCTCTCTCTCTCTCTCTCTCTCTCTCTATCTATCTATCTATCTATCTATCTCTCTATCTCTATCTCCCTAATAGTGTTATTTTTTCTCATATTCTCTCACACCCAGTAACGCCTTTGCGTCTTAGTAATTTCATTGCCTTGCCTTGAGTAAAATGATTTAAAAAAAGATAGAAAATGAGAAAAATTTAATGAGAAATTTAATAATTTGGCTTAATAAAATGATTTGAATATTATTGCCAAATATTTAATGATTTTTAGTCAATAGTACCAGAAACGCTTAAAAAAAGAGATAATGTTTGTTACGATGCGGGGGAGTGCAAGCAAGTGACGGAGTGTGCGTGATTCAGTTCTAAGTATCCAGGTCATGGGTGGGTATCTGAGCTAAACATATTCGAAAACTTTGTTTCGAACGGGTCAAGTCTTTTTGCTTTCTCTCTTTTTGATTTGCTCTATTGAAACTAATCTATTGCGTCTTAGTCGAACGTATTTCGGCCACGTGTCTATCTTAATGAAGCCATAGGCAACCTTCAAAAAGAAGAACTATGGCATTATAATCGACACACGCTCTCTGGCTGCATAATGCCTCAATCCAGAGGTAATCATCGTCCACATCGCTGATTTCCTATGCAAATGCCCTCGTTAATTGCTATGTTTCTTTCTTTTTTTAAGTGAGATTCTTTACTCTTTTCTTTCCTTCCCTTTTCTTTTCCTTCTTTTTTTTATTTTTTTTTTCTTGTTTGCTTTTTCCTTTCTTCTTTTCTCGTTTTTAATTCTTTCTTCATTTATCAATCCTCGTCCTGATTTTTATTTCTTACTTTTCGCTTTTTCATTCTATTTCTTTCTTTCTTTGTTATTTCTTTCTATTTGTTTTTATTTTTTTTCTTTCTGTTTTTCTTTTATTCATCATTTTTTTTCTTTTCTCTCTGTCTTTTCTTACTTTTTTATTTTTCTCGTTTTTTCTTCTTACTTTTCTTTCTTTTATCTTTCTTTATCTCCTTCTTTACCATTGAGTTCTTTCATTGCATTTTCTGTATTTCGTGTATTTTTCTTTTCTTTTTTCTTTCTTTCCTCCATTCTTTCTTTCTTTTTTGTTTTCCTTTTCATTCTTTCTTTCCATAGACTGTTGTCTTACTAGTAATCCCCGTTGATAGGTTGCGAGCAAGAATAACCTTCCCCCTCCATCCTGTTGGATTAATCGCAAAATGGACCTTAAATCCACATTATTCCTAACTCTCCTCGTTTAGTTATCTCTGCATATCTATCCACTAAACTCTATCGGCCTATCTTATTTTCCATCAATATCTCTCATTGTTCCCAAAGAACTTCCCATAAAGACACATCAAAATACGTGCTCTGACTCAGTCATATTGCGAAAACAAGATCACAAAACCTTTTTAATAAACCGCCATTTATCTAATCTTGACTTACGGTACCCTTGGCAGATGGTTCAAATCTCAACAGATATACGTAAATAATTTACCCTTGGTAGGTGGTTCAAATCTCAACAGATATACGTAAATAATTTACACTTGGTAGGTGGTTCACATCTCAGCAGTATTACGCAAACAGTTTACTATTAGTAGCCGGTTCAAATCTCAGCAGAAATAAGTGAACCCTTGGTAGGTGTTTAAATGTAAACAGAAATAAGTAAACACGTTTGATAGATAGATAGATAGATAGATAGATAGATAGATAGATAGATAGAAATATGAACAGACTGGCATAGATAGATAGATAGATAGATAGATAGATAGATAGATAGATAGATAGATAGATAAAAATATGAACAGACTGGGATAGATAGATAGATAGATAGATAGATAGATAGATAGATAGATAGATAGATATGAACAGACTGGCATAGATATAGATAGATAGATAGATAGATAGATAGATAGATAGATAGATAGATAGATAGAAATATGAACAGACTGGGATAGATAGATAGATAGATAGATAGATAGATAGATAGATAGATGATGAACAGACTGGCATAGATAGATAGATAGATAGATAGATAGATAGATAGATGAATGGATGGATAGATGACTGGCATAGATACTGATAGATAGATAGATGATAGATAGATAGATAGATGAATGAAATGAACAGACTGGCATAGATAGATAGATGATAGATAGATAGATGGATAGATAGATAGATGGATAGATGAACAGACTGGGATAGATAGATGGATAGATAGATAGATAGATAGATAGATAGATAGATAGATATGAACAGACTGGGATAGATAGATAGATAGATGATAGATATATAGATAGATAGATGGGATAGATAGATAGATGAACAGACTGGGATAGATAGATATGAACAGATGGATAGATAGATAGATAGATAGATAGATAGATAGATAGATAGATACATAGATAGATGTGAACAGGCAATATTAATAGTTAATAAGCAGATTGAGATGAAAGAAAAAAAAATGAAATATACGAATAGAACCAGATAGGTAGCAATGCGAATAAACTGAGATAGATAGATAGATACTGACATATATGAATTAACTGACATATATATATATATATATATATATATATATATATATATATATATATATATATATATATATATATATAACGAATGGTTAAATATAGCTATGTTTACGAGCGTGCGATCTTATCAAATACACATAAATACTGTATATTGTAAAAAAAAACAGTGCTCAATGTTAAATAACAGAGCTATTTATTATATATTAAGAAATATGCATAATATCTTACATTAACTGCACAACTCGGAGTTCATCCATCATATTTACATTTATTTAGATATATATAAATAAGAATAAATATAATAATTTAAGCACTGGAAAATTGCTTCGGCATGAAATTCCGAGTTGTTCAATTAATGTATGTTATTGTTTTTATGTATTACTCTTTCTTTTCATGTTTGACAGTTTAAGATGTGGATTTTATACTGTTTGCTTAGTAGTAGCGCTTATTTTGTGCTTCAAAAGTTGAGCTTGGATGGAATTCGAGTTGGCGTCTTTCTATTTTTTAAAAATTTTCAGCAGTATATTCATTTCACTGTTCTGCACATGATTGCGTTTAATATCATGTATCAGTTACCTATATTGGTCATACCACGACTTCCTTAAATGTTACCATAATTTACAATAACACTTCAGGGAGATTCTGGTCGATAATACTAGCATCCTCTATAGCTCCCGGTACCGAAAACATATCGCTTTCAGAGAGCCCCATTAAATCTGGCAAATTTTAAGGAAAGGAAAATGTGGAGAATCATGACCAACAAAGAAAAATATTTTCTTGCTTTTGCTTTTGTTATTTTGTATTGTCACGTTCACAGCAAGTTAGTTGGTAGTTTTTCCTTAACGGTATATCAATTTCTATGGATTATTGAATGCCGGGATCTAAATATTTCGTACGCAGTTTTATTTTAATTTTGGACATTTTGGAGATAATGATGGTTTAGTGATATAAGTTTTACTAATTAACCCATATCCGGGGAACTAGGTGTATTCATAACTTTTGTAACTGAATATAATGATCAAACAGGAATTGGAACTCGGCTCTCCGATTAACAATTCCCAACCTTTATCCATTACACTGAATCCAAGCTTACATCACCTAGTATTTCCAAGCGGTCACCCATCTAGGTATTGACCAGTCACGATGTTGCTTAACATACGCGAAAGGGTTTTTAAATGTGATGTGATCCTAAACTGTTCACAACATCAGTTGGGAGTTTCTCGCTGGTGATTGACAACGATTTTTTTCAGTTAATATCATTATTATTGTTGTTGTAAAAATAGTTGTATTTTGGAGAGTGTACTGTTTTTCCGTGTCCAGTGTAAGCACACAGTTAAATCAGAGACAAACATATTTTGAAAAGTGAATCTTATATCATTATTGACTAAGCTTTGTTTAGCATGAAGTCACATGCTCGGCCTTTTGTGAGATCGGGTCAAACTCATTAGTGTAGTAATGAACTTCCCAGCTCTTTTGTGAGAAATGACGCGCATATATCAGTAGATAATTGTCCGTATATACATACATAGATATTGCTTTGATACACACAGTTGATATTTAAACTTTTAATGGAAAAAATAAAAGGAAATAAAGTGACATAAAAATGTCATGTTTTCGGGAGTAAAATTAAAATATTTTGAATGAAATCGATAAAGGAACAAAGAAAGAATGAACGTATAAATGAACAAAGAAAGAAAGAAAGAAAGAAAAAGAAACAAAGACAGAAAGTAAGAACATTGAAATAAGGGAAGAAATAAATAAGTATAATCATAAAAGATTGAAGAATGAAGGGAAGTAAAAACTGAAATAAAGAAAGAAAAAAAAGAAATTAATTTAAAATAACAGATGATAAAATAAGTGAAATAATACAATGGAAAGAAAGAAAGCAAGAACGAACGAAAGAAAGAAAGAAAGAAAGAAAGAAAGAAAGAACGAACGAAAGAAAGAAAGAAAGAAAGAAAGAAAGAAAGAAAGAAAGAAAATATAGAACAACGAAGAAAAGAAATGTGAAATAATTATAAGAGAACGAAATGATTTAAGAAAGAGAAAAAAGACAATTAAAATAACGGAGGTAATAATAGAAGGAAAGAAAGAAAAAAAGATAGACAGAAAGAAAACAGAAAGTAACGAAGAAAGAAAATGAAAATAACGAAGAGAAGAAAGAAAGAAAGAAAGAAAGAAAGAAGAGGAAAGATAAAGAAAGGAAGAAGGGAAAAGATAAAGAAAGGAAGAAGGTTAAAATAACGGAGGAAAGAAATAAGTGAAATAATACAAGGAGAAAAAGAAAGAACGAAAGAAAGAAAAACAGAAATTTAAAATAATGGAGGAAAGATATAAGTGAAATAATAGAATGGAAAGAAAGAAAGAAAGAAAAAACAACAACAACAAAAAAAAAGAAAATAACGAAGAGAAGTAGTAAGGAAATAATCAAAGGCGAAAGAAAGAAAATTAAAATAATGTAGCAAAGAAAAAAGTGAAATAACTAAATAAAAAGAGAATTAAAAGAGAAGACGAAAATATAAAATTTTCATTTTTGAATTTTTACATGAAGAAATGTCCGTCTATGATATTTTGAATATTTCTGCGCATTATTTTTCTCAGAGATTCTTATAGCAATTAATACTGAAACGACTTTTCGGCTAATTACCCACTGGCCACCTTCAGTTGGTCATTATTTAGCGGATAGGGAATATTTTATATGTACTGATTTTTGTCTAATGTTTGTCATTGTATGCTACCTATTAATGGTAAGTGCAATTCAGTTAGTAATTTGAATAAACTCCCTTTTGGCAGGAACGAACAAGAAACCTCATCTTTTATCAGCCAAAATAATAGACACCAGAAGATGGTCAGATGGTACTTTGTTGTGAATAATAGATACAATTCTTTTTCACTCCATTTGAATCATAGGATCACGGCAACATCGTCCTAGTGTTGATGCTGTGTGTTCCTGTAGCAACTAGGCCGATTACGGATTTAAGTTGCTTGCCTAGCATTCAGCCAGCTTTGGCTTCAGAGCGTGCCTTCTAAATTGGTCGCCAACCAAATTTAGAGAACTCATTCTGCCCTGCTATTTAACTCATTGCTGGTGGAAGATGAAATGGGTCCATAGCTTTCATAATGATATTTGTTTTGTTGGGAGATCAGTGTTTTTCATCAAGTTGCTACCTCAAGATATATTATCAGTCAAAATAGGCTTTATAGACATTTTTGCTTACCTAATTTCACACACACGATTTGTTTTTTTTTTCAGACACTCGTCAACAGTGACACACGCTGGGATTGACTTCCCCGGATATTATTCTGAAGAAGTTTTGTCTACTATGGTGAGATTTGAAACCCAGTATTCATGATTTGAAGGCTAACCCATCTAATAAAATGATATTCCTACAACGAATCTGCAAAGTTATATTTTTTTTTTTTTTTAAGTGCCGAGTCTCTTCAGTAGAATGACGATCGTGGCTCGCTACAATTTTCTTTTTTCTTAGCTCTTAATTAATTTTATTTGATGTTATCGTTCCTACTCACTAATCTACCGCCCATTTCCACATGCTCGGTTGGTATGTTATTTTTTGTTTTCTTTTGTCTCTTTTATCTTCAATATATGCTGTGAGTATTAAATTTTCCAAGCCCTCTTTCCAGATTATGTGCCCTTACATCGTAACTGAAAAAAAAATAATTTATACGCTCTTACCAACGTACCCGTAACTTTAAATTGTAATGTTACAAATATGTTGCCTGGTAAAGTTGAAATACAAGAAAATAGATAATAAATTTTAGAAATACAGTTCACGATGAGTAAATTGTCGCCATTTTATATTTTAATTTTGCGCATGCGCATTGTTTGCTTTTGATTTTGTCAGTTGTCAGTTGGGCACCGTCTATGAGAAATAGTGCACCTTGACGCAATTCACTCCACCAAAGATTTGAAAACGGCATACAGTACTGCTTGGCAGTCGCACCGGAGGCTCCAATATAAACTTTTCAGAGTGCATGGGCATCAATCCGAGGACACTGCAGAGGATTAGGAAATAGTTGGATGAGTCTAATGGTGATTAAGAAGGGTTTTGGTGTGACCACTAGTGATGGCGACGTTATGCCTCCATTCATCGTCGTACATCAGTCTACATCAATGCCTTGAAGAGGTATTGCTGCCCTGGATCAAGAAGCTAAGAGCTAATCGACACTATGCCTGGTGTCCGGACTCTGCACCGAGCTACACAAGCAGGAGAAAACATTAATAGTTATCAAACAATTTTGGAAACCACATCACACCATACATCTGTCCACATAACTCCCTATCGGCACCCCTAGATAATTATGTGTGGGTCACAGTTGAGCGAGAGACCAGCAAAACTTCTTGTAACAACAATGAGGAGCTGAAGGTAAGGATTATAGAAGCATTCACCAAATTATACAAGGAGAAAATCCAGAAGAGTTACAGGAGATTCCGAAGTCGTCTGGAGTTCATTGTTGAAGCCATTGGCGATTTTATTGAATAAATTTACTCCTTAGTATTTCAAGATATGTTGGTACAATTTTGGTAAATATATCTGTTAAGATGACATGTCAGTGTTATTTTCCTGTTTGCGTAATTTAGACGACAATTTATTCATCGCACCCTGTTTATCAGAAAATGTATTTTTCATTTAAATTAATGATCTCAATTAAAATAAAATAACATTAGTAAAAGAATTTTTTACATCTTTTACGCATATTGTTAAGCGAAGAAAAATCATTCTTATGTTATTTTTTCTATAGCTAATTTTTTCAGCATCTTGTGCCTGCTGGACAATCTCCTCACAGATGAAGAAGGGACTTGAGGCGACAGAAATGTGGTTCTACAGAAGGATGCTGAGGATACACTGAACCGAACATGTGGGCAAGGACGACGTTTTAGAGAAAATGGAATAAAAAAGGAAACATATTTAACATCAGGAAGAGACAGGTGATATTTCTAGCGCCCATAATGAGTAAAGTGGGCTTGGAAAATCTGATACTCACAGGAAAGGTTGAAGGAAAGAGAGACGAAGGGAAAATAACGCATAATCTACTTGGTAAGCCTGAGCAGATTAATGGTGGTTTAGTGGAGATAACAAAAATACGAAATTTATTAAGAACTACAAAGGACAGGGAGATTCTGAATGAAAACTGCACATAGAAGAAGACTTTGCAAAGCTAGATAATATTTTGACAAATTTAGAGATAGACGGTTATCTTTTGGCTCAGGAAAATAGCTGATTACAACTTCGCCACAACACCACATACAACATCACATACAGCATGATATACAACATTACATACAACATCACATACACCATAATATACAACATCACACACAACATCATATTCAGCATCACATACCCCCACCACCAACCAAAAAATACTCGTCTGGAACGCTGTAAGAATGTTTCTTGTTAATAATCTCCCTACACACTCGATTGGATAAAAGAGAATAATAATAATAATAATAATAATAATAATAATAATAATAATAATAACAACATAGATAAAGCCCTTCGTAAGGTGTGGGCTGTAATTGTCAGAACAATTTTTTGTATCTCCTTGAGGCATGGACTTCCAGGAATCCCTTCAATTAGTCTACTGCAATCTTTTCCAACCAGTCCTAGGGCTCCAACTACAACAGGGATTGTTGATGTTCCCATATGCCACATTTTCGAGATTTCTATTTCAAGGTCCTTGTATTTTGACAACTTTTTGAATATCTTCAAAGATACATTGCAGTCAGCAGGGACTGCCATGTCAATAAAGAGGCACCGTTTTTTGTTGTGGTCTTTAATAATAATATCTGGGCGGTTGGCTTTGATTGTTCTGTCAGTGTGTATTGTGTAGTCCCATAGAATTGTAACAGGTCCTATCTCCGTAACCGGGTCTGGGTGGTGTTCATACCAGTTTCTTTCAGTTTCCTTCCCGTAGAAGTTGCAGATTTTCCAGTGCAGATATTGGCCCACTCTGTCATGTCCGGTTTTATATTCAGTGGGTGCCCACACCGTGCAACCTGATACAAGATTATGTAATTTAATTTTTTTTTTTTTTTTTTTTTGTCAGTGGAAAGTGTCATGACGCCATTTCTAACCTTAGGCCCCTGGGCGGGACCCGGAAAGAAATGTGTAAACGCCAGAAATCAAAGAAAATAAAGATAACAATAATAATAAAAACATAATATTGATTGATTAGTTTTTTTACGACTTACCAACCCGGTTTGGATTATTTAAAACCCAGCCGAAACATTTTTGAATGTAGGAATCATTTTTATTTTTTGCCTGTAAATATTGCATTTACAGTTTTTGCGAAAAACAATGATTTTTTTTTCCAGATACTAGTCCTTGTATTTAACCCATTGTTGGGGGAGCATAAATTCATACTTTTCCTAATTAATATTATCGTGGAAATGAATATAACGAACTCAGTTGTTATTGGAACTTGTTTCTCTGATTCCTCATTCTGAGCCGATATGCATCACACCACCCGCACATCCACGCAAGCACATAATAACATTTGACTGTATTCTATCTTCTCCATAGTCTTCTAGTTTTGCATCCGCAATTTTTATAATAATAATAATAATAATTAGTAGTACTTGTTGTTGTAGCATCATAAATATCCCATTCGGTTTACGCATTGAGATAATGTATCTTTCTTCTTTTTTACTTCTTTTCACTTTTCTATTGTAGATTACTTTAAGCGAACTCTTACATTCTATATATTTCCATTACGTGTTTTTCCAATCCTCTTTCCATGACGTAATCCTAAATTACATAAATCTGTCTGTTGAGTGTTTAAGAGAAAGTGCTTCAACAGGTTTACATTGGACACTTCGGCAAAATGGAGGCTTGTCAGGTTTACATGTTGCCGCATTTAGGACTGATACACTTGAAGCCGCTAAGAGGAGACTCGGCCGCTGGCAAAAGAGGCTTTAGAGTATTGAAGTGTTTTGTCAATCAGTGTTTACACGCGGGAGTCGCGCGGGA